GAGGGGAGGGAGGATAGTAGAGGATAGGATAGAGAGCAGAATTCATCAGACACTAGAATGGCAATATGTAAATCAATGGAAATGTAACTGATGTGATTCAGCAATCTGTATACGGGGTAAAAATGGGAGTTCATAACCCTTTTGAATCAAACTGTGAAATATGATATATCAAGAAAGATGTAATGTTTTGAATGACCAACAATAAAAAAATAAATAAATAAAAAGGAAAAAAAAATTCAGGTCCCCATTCACACTAGCCACATTGTAAGTGCTAACTAGTTCCTTGTACCATACTGTCTGCACAGATGCAGAATATCTGCATCCTCTTTTTTTTTTGGGGGGGGGTGGGTTGGACTCAGGGAGACTTGACCACTGAGCTACATTCCCAGCCCTATTTTGTATTTTATTTAGAGACAGGGTGTGACTGGGTTGCTTAGTGCCTTGATTTTGCTGAGGCTGGCTTTAAACTCTTAATCCTCCTACCTCAGCCTCCTGAGCCATGCCCTGGCTATATCTACACCCTCCTAGAATAGACAGAACTGCATTAGAAAATGAGAGTAGCCAGGGGTGGGCGCCAATACCATGACCCCATCTCCCTTCGAACCTGACTCTGATTCCTCTCAATCCCACCCTGGGTAAAGGATGGGTCTAACCCCCAGCACTAGAAGTAGTCGGTCCTTTCTTTTTTCCTTCCTTTCTTTCCTTCCTTCCCTTTCTTCCTTCCCTTCCTCCCCTCCCCTTCCTTCCTTCCTTCCCTCAGGGATACTTAACCACTGAGCTAGTGAGAAAGGGTCTCACTAAGTTGTAAGGCTGGCCTTGAACTTGCAATCTTTCTGCCTCAGGCTCTTGAGTGGCTGGGATTGGAAGGTGTGTGCTACTGCACCTGGCTGTGTCACTTTCTTACTCAGAAATCTTAGCTCCAAATCTGAGTCCCAGAACAGTAACAGCTGCTGCTTCAACAGAATAATATTTGAGCACTTAACTATGTTCTGGGCACAATGGCCAAGCATGAGTTATTTCATTTAATCCTCCTCACAACTCCATTAGGTTGGCACTCTTTTATAGCTGAGAGAATGGAGGCTTAGAGATGTTGAGTAACTTGTCCAAGGTCACAACACTAGAAAGGATCAGGAGTTGAAACCAGATCTCTGGTTGCAGAACTTGGACACACCTGAAATACTTAAATACACACACACACACACCAATGTCCCAGCACCACTTCAACTGAATTTAAATCTACTAAAGTGTTGTCTATATTCTGGGCAGTTTTCAAAAGCAACACAATTGCTTCTAATGTATGGCTGGGCTGAGAATCATGAGAGAACTGGAGAACCAGGAGTCCTTCTTGTCCATAGGATGTGGTGCTTGTTTCTCCTCCTTGATTCAGGCCCTATCTTTTCTTTTGGGGGCAGTAGCCACCTGTGAGTTTTGAATGGGTAAGGGCTGTCAGTGATCCTACTGTTGGGGGTGGGGAAGAGTGATGAATGGGTTTCAGTCAGTCTTGAAGCTCACAGGCTCAAGGATCAGTTTGGTCCAGGTGTTGACCATGAACCCTGAAGCATCCTGAGCCCACTCATGATGGGGATATGCCCTAGAACTATAAGCTGGAGAAGCAAAATTTTTTTGGCTTGTTGCTCTGACCTTGCAGGGCCCTTCCATACCCTTCACTACTTTCAGAACTCTCCACTGGCTCAATTTCAATTTCAGGTTGTTTGTTGTGCACTTGCAAGAAAAGTCTCATATTTCAGACACCTCAGGCAAATTCTGTCAGGCATCAGAGAAAGACAGTAGCCAAAGAACCTTGCTTTGCAGGATGAAGGTGGAGGAGGAGGAATCTACCCAATTATGAGCCCATAACATTAGAAAACAGTACATGTGGGAGGACCACTCCCAGGCAATGACCGGAATAAAATGCTTGGCCTGTGGTTACCATGGCAATTGTCCAAAGGTGCCAGGTGGCAGTTCTTCTCCCAATCCTTGTTCTTTTCAGCAGGAAGCAACTAAGTGCCTGGGGAAGCCCCAGGTAGCTGGACATCTTGGCCAGAGGTCAAGGCAACACAGGCTCCAGGTTCACCCTGCTCCAGTTCTGCTTTCATAGAGCCCCTTGCCACCTGCCAAGGTATAGGGATGAGTCACTTGTTTATTTTAGTGCAACTCAACTTTCCTTTGTTGGAGGGCCCTACCTCTCCCTGGGTGTACAGCCTGGTGGGGTCTTCAGAGGAACCAAGTCTGGGGATACAAACAGAACCAAGACCCTGGAGCTCCTGTTGTCCAGAGCTAGAGTGTGGATTCGGCTTCTGGGCAGGGACTTAAACACACACACATTTTTCCTATTTTAAGGAGACCTTTGCTCAACAACATGCCCTCCTCCTTTTTTTTTTTTAATTTTTAGTTGTAGATAGATGTAATACCTTTATTTTATTTATTTATTTTAGATGCTGAGGATCCAACCCAGTGCCTCACATGTGCTAGGCAAGCACTCTACACCCCAGTCCCATGCCCTCCTCTATATATGATCCCCTGCTTCCTATCTCCACATAGCCAGATGTCTTAAAAGATTCATCTGCACTCACAGCCTTTGCTTACTATTTATTTTTTTTGCCCGGGGGGGGGGGTACTGGGCCCTCTACCACTGAGCTATACCCGCCAGCCCTTTTTGTTTTTTATTTTGAGGCAGGTTCTCACTAAGTTGCTGAGACTGTTTTTGAGCTTGCAATCCTTCTGCTTTAACCTCCCCAGATCTCTGGGATTACTGGCTTGTGCCATCTTTTCTGACTTCTTTTATTTTTTTCCCTTCCCATCACCATTCAATCCACTGAAATCTCCCATAACTTGTTAAGATCTCTTGTGGTTATCATTAATCACTGCTTTGGGGCTAAATCTAATGTAAATATCAGTAGGGGACACTGGTGATCACCCCAGGGTTCTGAAATATTCTTTCCACTGAATGTGGTTGTACACAACAGTAATCCTAGCCATTGGCGGCTGAGGCAGGATGATTGCAAGTTCTAGGCCAAGTTCAGCAATTTTGTAAAGCCCTCAGCAACTTAAAAAAACCTTGTCTCAAAATAAAAAATAAAATAAAGAGGGGCTGGGGATGTGGCTCAAGCAGTAGCGCACTTGCCTGGCATGCGTGCGGCCCAGGTTCGATCCTCAGCACCACATACAAATAAAAATGTTGTGTCCGCCGAAAACTAAAAAATAAATATTAAAATTATTTTTAAAAATGAATGAATAAATAAATAAATAAATAAATAAATAAATAAAATAAAGAGCTGGGGATGTAGCTCAATAGTTTCCCATAGATTTTATCATATATTTTTCTCCCTGGTGGCAGGTGTCATTTTGATAACAGTCATTTTGATGTGGTGACGTTTTTCACTAACCTATTATATTTTCAACTTCAAAAAAAATATTGCAAATAATGTGTGAAGCAAACATTTATTAGCTCATTTAAGCCTGATTCAATTACTGGGCTCCATGGTGGAGAGATGAATGGTAGAGCATATGCTTAGCAAGCACAAGGCCATAGATTTAATCCCTACCAAAAAAAAAAAACAGACTTGCAGGAAAGAACACCAAACTCTTATGATCCCTTATTATCAACACTAGACTGAAATGGCAATCATATTCAATATATGTGTATATGTACATTATATATCAATATGTGTTTGTTGAATAAGCAATATAATAATGGTTTGAGGGACAAGACTCCAGATTTTTATAGAGGCAAAGTTTTAACCTTTATAGCTTATCTTTATTATTCTTTCTCTTCCCTTCTTTCCTCTCTGTTTCTTTTTCTGGGCAAGCACTATATCTCTGAGGTATGCTCCAGCCTCACTAATGATTTTTGATGACACCAGACATTGTAAATTTTACACTGACGTAAGTGGATTCTTAAAAATCTTCCTTTAAGGTGTGTGCAGGGCTCATGCCTGTAATCCCAGCCATTTAGGAGGCTGAAGCAGGAGGATCACTAGTTCAAGACCAGTTTAGGCAATTTATTGAGATACAGTCTCAAAATAAAAAAGAAAAGGGGCTGGGGATGTAGCTCAGTGGTAGA